CGTATCTGATGAGTTGGTAGAACAATGAATACATATAAGTCTATATATATATAATACATACGTAATTACATATGTACATACATACCAACAAATATTTTTGTGTATGCATACTGTATATACCCCGTATGTTAATCATTGTTAATAAGTTTCGAATTTGATTCGAAAATGAATTATTAACAAATAGAATTGCGCCCTCTCTGTGGGGCTTACCACCCACGTTGGGAACCATGGGTTTAATCTCTTCCTAAACTACGCCCAAGCATAGTATACAAGCACAAATGTGGATAAATAGACCTTGACCATTCACGCACGCATATACACATATATACAACCACGCACATATATATATATATATTCACACATTCATATATATATATGAATGATAGAGTGGAAAAATTCCGTGTAACACATTTCCGCCTATCGAAGGACTTCATCGGACTAAAGTAATTTTTTTTTTTCTGTAATTATATATTTGTAGGAAGGAGAGGGGGGATATAAGAACGTCAGCGTTGGTTAAAATTATGTAGCGAGAGGAAACGCTGAAAGTTTTGGAACGCTGAAATATTTAAATTTTGTTTTTTCAGACGTGTCTGGACATGCAGCCTAGCCGATCTCATTCAGTTTTCCTAATTTTTTTTGTTTCTGCCAGTTTTATTATTAAGTATACCACATTGTGATAACAAGATCTGCAAAGAACGTTGAAAAGTTGTAAGAACCTGGCTGCATTCCATTTTATCAATCTGTTCTGATATATAGAAATTTCTATATTATAATCATACACTGACTTACAAATAGACCACCCGAAATCTACCTAGATATATCATGAACATAGATAGATAGATAGACAGATAGATAGATAGATAGATAGATAGATAGATAGATAGATAGATAGATAGATAAACAGACACACAGATGGAGATATATAAATATGTACAGACTGAAATAAATATATGAACACACTAACATAGATCGATAGATAGATGGATGTGGGTAGTTAGATAGATAGATAGATAGATAGATAGATAGATAGATAGATAGATAGATACGAAAAGACTGAGATAGATAGATAGATAGATAAATAGATAGATAGATACGAAAAGACTGAGATAGATAGTATTTATCAATCCACCCACGGGGATCGAATGTGGCACAAGGCCTTTTTAATGTGGGTATCTCTGAGCCCATAGGCCTAGCCAAAAATAAATAACCATCCAAACCCGCCGAGGCGGGCCAGTTCTGTCACCCCCCCCCCAACGAAACCCTATCCTTCGGCGGAGCTTCGTCCGGGTTCCTCTCTGCAAGCAGAGAGTTAGACAGACACCCGACCCAGCAGCTCACAAAGCGCAGATACTACACTTTGATCCTAGCCACCGATATCTAGCTAGCTAGCTTGATAGATAGATGTGAACAGACTAAGTTATGAACAGTTAAGATAGATACATAGATACAGTAAATTGTCGCCATTTTATATTTTTCATTTCGCGCATGAGCGTTGTTTGTTTTGAATTTTGTTGACTGCGCAATATAGTAGGGTCAGTTGTCGCCGTCTGTGAATAAAAGAGCACCATGACTCAATTCACTCCGCCAGAAATTTGGAAACGGTCTGCTGTATTGCTTGGCATTCAAGGTGGAAACTCCAGTATAAACATTTCAGAATGTTTGGGTATCAATCTAAGAACAGTGAAGAGAATTCGGAAAAGAGATGGATGAGTAATTGTGGTTACGAAAGAGGCAGTTCGGAAAACTCGAATTTGTTGGTGAGTAATTCAGACTCAACAGCGAGGCCTACATCACATATATTAATGAGGTAGTGCTGCCGTGGGTCAAGAGGATGGCTGCTGGAGGAGCCTATGCCTGGTAACAAGACTCTGCACCATGCCACACAAGCAGGAGAACTCAGTCATGTCTCTCAGACAATTTCTGCGGCCACATCACCCCCCTTACATCTGGCCACCTAACTCCCCAGACTATAAACCCCTTGATTATTATGAGTGGGGCGCGGACAGTAACAAAACTCCTTTTAATACCAAAGATAAACTGAAGGCAAGGATTATGGTAGCATTCACCAAATTAAACATGGAGACCATCCAGAAAAGTCGTCTTTAGTCCGTGGTTGAAGCCAATGATGATTTTATTGAATAAATTTACTTTTGGTATTTCGAGATATTTTTGTGTAGTTTTGGTAAATATATCTGTTAAAATGAGATGTCAATGTTAATTTAATTTTTGCGTCATTTAGACGACAATTTATCCATTGCACCCTCTGTATATAGATAATGAGAAAGTATCTAATTTACCGATTTAAAGTCAAATATGTACTGATTGAAGCAGATGTATATGGAAAACAATTGATATATATACATACATACATATATATATATATATATATATATATATATATATATATATATATATATATATATATATATATATAAACAGACTGGTAGACTAAAAAAGATCAATAAATATAAAGAGATCGATAATCGAAATATTCTTTGACTATTTTTTTTTTATATTGGAACTGAATATATCAAATGACCAAACATCTACAAAGAACTGCTGAAAAGTTCTCAGCCCATTTCCCAAGATTTGTCCAAATGACCAAACATTAGACTTTTTGAATCTCTTCTTGTTTGGGTCGACAAGAAACTCTCATAAGATTTTTTTTTTATTTTTGATTAAGATACTTCTTTAAATGCTAGATGTTTCCCCGGTCACTCTAATCTGAACCCCCTCTAAATTAAATTTAAACCATTATATATCCTACACATCCTCATAATATATAACTCGTGCTCCCTATCTCTTGCAACATTTCTATTCAATAACCATTTACCTTGATTATCACTTGTCGTAGGCGAACAATTTTTTGAACGTATTCCATGAATTCAAATGTGTAATCTATATATAAAAGTCTGTCACCATTAATCTGTCCGTCACACCCTCTAAAATAGCTACACATTGATCGATCCAAACCAAATTTTGGGGAGGAGTGCAAACAGGTAAAGGGGTACAAAGTACGGTTGGTTTTACTATGCTTGTTACATCAAGTTTCTGGTTGAGCTTACCGTAATTCCCCATGTATAATACGCCTTCATCCATAATACGCTCCTTAATAAAATAATTTTTTTTGAAAAATTAAAGTTTTATTATTTAACATACAAAATAGTCCCACTATTTTAAAAACAATTTAATCTATATATAAAATTATCTGACTTCCGTTAGTCCGTATGTCCGTCCATCACACTCTCGAAAATAGCCATACATTGACTATTCAAAACCAAATTTCGGGGAGAAGTGTAACAGGTAAGGGGCTACAAAGTATAGCTGATTTTACTAGGGTGCGTAAAATTTGTCAAAGGATTTTTCCAAACAACCATTCGTCTGTGCATGGAATACTGTTGCCATATATGGTCTGGTACCTCCGCTGTTCATCTCGAGGTTCTCGACAAAATCTAAAGACGGATATGCAATGTGATCGGTCCTATCTTGGGGTCTCGACTCCAGTCACCGACCTAATGTGGTTCCCCTCTGTCTTTTCTATAAATATTTTCATGGCAACTGCTCTGAAGAGCTATTTTCACTGGTGCCCTGACTGCATGAATTTAAGCATGCTACTAGGTTGGCCTTTCAGTCCCACCCTTTTACTCTCGAAACAGTTAAATATAACCGCCTCTTCTACTCTAACAGCTTCTTCTCTTGCACTTCCCGACAGTGGAACTCCCTTCCTCTTATTTACTTCCCTGATAACTATAATCTTCAAAAATTTAAATGTAATGCCAATCGACATCTTCTCTTGTCTTGATATCCGTTCTTCTTTTTGTCCTTTCCTCAACCCCCTTATACTCAGTCTTTTCCCATACTTGATCTCTCTGTAGCCCCTTGCGTACTAGTCAAACTCCCGCCTTGCTTGGGGGTGAATTGCTTAAAAAATCGTCTTATTCAAATTCTTATTTCATCGGCTAGTTTGTGAAATTAAACGAAACTTAGAGTTTGTAAATCTCGACAAAAAATGTTAGCAACAATTTCAACAATGATAAATACTGCCTGGATTTAAACACGCTGTTTCCAAAAAAAAATTCTAGTGTTTAAAATTGCACACTAGGAAAGAAAGAATCTTTACCTTTACTCGTAACATTCATTCTTGGGTGAGCATAGTGTCGTAAGTTTCTGCTTAAACTTACCGTAATTTCTCATGTGTGATACGCCTTCATCTATAATACGCACCTCTAAAATTGTGCTGAAAGTGTGGCAAAGTGCTTCTACGCACGCATAACGCGCACCCCTTGTTTGGTAATCAAACCCTATAAATTGGAACTCTCCAATTTCATTACGGCCTAGAGTTTCCTACTTTTATTCAAGCTGTAATTGAAGATATTTATCAAAACTTCCGATCATCACTATTCTAAAAGGAAACGGAAATACCTATATTGTGCCTATTGCGCAGACTCATTAACCTGTTTTTGTTTGGTAAAATGTGAAATCTACCGAATCTGTAAGTAGTTTTTCACAAAAAATGGTTTAAAACAGAATATTCTAAATTAGTTCCATGACATTTCTTACTTCATTTTACGTTTGTAAGTATTGTTAGGTACATATGATTGTATTTGACATCCTTATGGAGTCGCAATCGCCGAATGTTAGTGTCAAATTGTCGTATGTTTGTGGTGAGTTGTCGTTTCACAACTTAAATCGACCTACGAAACGGCCAATTTTTGAAGATTTTTTGTAGCTGTGCATAATACGCACCCCTAACTTATTTTTTTTTAGAAAAAATGCGTATTATAAATGGGGAATTACGGCACTTTTAATGTATTTTAGGTTGTTTTTCATAAGATAGTTTGTTCATTCAGGCAAATATTTGTTCTTATTTAATATAATAAAAAAAGTACAGATCGCTGGTAGCAATAAAACATTTGCCGTAGAAGTTCAGATTTCAAATAGAAATGTTTACGATCCAGAAAATGAATCTTCTTCATTACGTAAAAGTATAAAAAAAAATCATGTGTCATAGGGCGATTGTAATTAAAATAGGCCCGGCCTTTTGGTAATTGCACAAGTCCAACATTGGGACTACGATGTGTCTCAAAAATATCCCAAAATGAAAGCAATGTCCGCATAGAGTGTACTTTAGTTTTTTTTTTTTTTGTTTTTTTTTAAGTCTGATTCGTGATTCGTTGTCTGTAGGGCAAGGATTTTTTCGAATATGATCAGTGGACCCGAACAATGAGCTAGTGAGGTCAAAGGTCATGAGAAAGCTTTTATTGTCGGATAAATAAAATAGAAATGGCAAAAAAATCTCAATTTTTTCTTGCTTCAGCGTTCAAGGAAATCTCCAGCAGACCGTGAAAAGAGTAAAGAGAAATTTCTATTTACATAATCTCACTCAGTGCCAGGGCTTACCTACTAATCTTAACCTACCTACCTACCTTCTTACCTGCCTGCCTACCTACCTACCTATCTATCTATCTATCTATCTATCTATCTATCTATCTATCTATCCTTTTGTCTGTTTTCTTTTCAATCTACTTATGCATTCATATCACTCTTTTCATGTGTTCTTGTTTTCCTATCTATCTATCTATCTATCTATCTATCTATCTATCTATCTATCTATCTATGCATCATTGTCAGTATTTTCATGTATTCTTGTTTTCCTATCTATCTATCTATCTATCTATCTATCTATCTATCTATCTATCTATCTATCTATCTATTCTTTCTTTTTTTCTATACAAGGCACAGGGGCCTCCCGAGGTAGAGGGTTACAAAGTAAGAGGCACGGTTGGGAGTCGGCTCGACAAATCAGCGGTTCCCGCGAAGAATCTGTTCGAGTGGAATTTACTTTTTATCAATGGAACACGAAGAGGAATATGGTGGTTTGCTACAATGTGAGTAGCATGGTGGGTCCTAGACGTGATTTTCTATCTATCTATGGACCTAGCTACCTTGATAGCTAGCTGTTTATACCGCCCCTTCGATATATATATATATATATATATATATATATATATATATATATATATATATATATATATATATATCGTTTTTTGACGTTGAAAATACGTAAAAAACGACATTATTACGTCATTATTTTTGCACCAACCTAATATATTAGTTTTTTGAGCCTTTTACATATATATATATATATATATATATATATATATATATATATATATATATATATATATATATATATATAAATACGCACTATATATGTATGTATATATGTAAATACGTAGCTATATATACCTACACTTTTAAATGATTGTTCACCCAATCTACAATGAATGAGTTTTGTTTTAGATCCAGATCTCATACTCAGGACACTAAACCCCTAACTATTCGGCCAAGGTACATCAATAAAGAGCGTATATACCAATGTTAACTGTGTTTCTGAGATCTGTTCGAAAAGTATCCAGCTATTGCGAATATCCTTGTCAAATTTTACAACCAATCAGACTGGGCCTATTGAACGTATGTGGCAGAGACTTTTCCATTTGTGTAAATTAGTCGTTGGTGAGACACTGCTTAGTGGACATGTGTATCGTATGACGGCTGCTTTGTCATTCTTTCGTGAAATGTTATTTAATTAAGAAAGTTTTCGAGGATCGTTGAATGAATAAATCACATAAAAAATTTTGTTGGTACCTCAACGGGGTGTCATAGTTAGCGTTAGTTAGTTGTTTCGCTAGATCAATTAGGATATAGCGAGTTCGATCCCCACCGAGTGATCCACATTTTCGACCTTGCGCTACGTTCAGAAAACCATAGAGCCCTTCGACGAGGTGTAATTGTTAGCAAGCTTGTCTCATTAGATCAGTTACGACTGCATAGTGAGATCGATTCTCATTTGGAGCACCATACCTTCGGAATGGTGTCACATCTTAGTTTAGTACGAAGTTTTCAAGCTTGTTTAGTTGGCTCAATTATGGCTGACGCGTTATCTATCTATCTATCTATCTATCTATGTCATGTTCGATCCTCACTGGTTGCGCTATACTTTTTTGCGCCACATCTAAGCTATTCTTACTAAATCGCTATAAATGTTTGGTACTGATGCTCTTCAAGTTTTGGTTCACCACTGCTGGGGACTGGTATTGAACTCATAACTCGTTGGGTCTAGTCACTGGATCTAACCAACGTCTTTCTCCATTGGGTAAACCAGGAGCGTTGAGTTAAACGGAAATAACTTAGGCATCCGGAAGTGGCATGGCACGTGGAACTAGAACAATCTACTTCGGTGGGCAAAATAGAGGGTTCGGTTCGAAATTCCAATCACCTGAAGAAGGTCGGAGTGTACAACGGCCGAAACGTTGTGAATATGGCAATGAAGATGAGAATAACGGTCAGAATAATGTAAATGATGCAAGTAATCATGATACCTCATCTCAGAGATATAGACAAATTTTATTATTATATCAATAATAATAATTGTTATATGATAATATTATTATAATATGATTATTATAACAATAATGATAAGTGTTCAATAATAATCACAGTCAAGAAAATATTACTAGTGTATATTAAAAAGGACGTTCAAAGATGGTGGCGCTGAAAGATCGTGGAAAATATGAAAGGAGTTTATTAGATCAAGTCTTTGGCTTTTCGCCGTCATGTCTAAAGTGGTAAAACAGTTTTCACTGTAAAACAGGCTGTCGGATGAAAATGATTTGTGATTTCAAAACTCGCTGAAAACTTTTTGTTTTGCTTCTTTTTTTTAACAATTCAATCTGTGCCTTTGTTGGCAGCCCTAGAGTGACAGTCTAGAAAGTTGCGATAAAAGCAAGTTAAATTAAGGTGAATAAATACAGGGTTCAGCAGAAATACCTCCAACATATACCCACTCAAAAGTACCTCGTTTATGATGCTAAGACATTAGTGGCGATGGTGTCTTCATCTGGCTTAATTATACTCTGCATTAGTCTAGTCTAGAATAGGTAATAATTTTCGATTTCATATCTTTCATTGAAAAAAAAATCGATTTTACAAACATGGATTGGTAAAAGAATCATTCACAGCCTTCCCCAGACGACACACAAACACACGAGACGGCATAGTTCAAATAATCCAAATTATTTGATTTCGCATAATAAAAAAAAAACATACATTCTGAGAAAAATTTCTATAATTCAGTGTGTATCAAAAATATTTTCGTTTTTTTTTTTTTTTTTTAAAAATAAACTCCTTTTAACTTTGATGTAACGTTTTATATACGGGATGTAGTTGCATTCCCCGCTCTCACAATCGACAGCTGATGGTCATCTATTATTAAACTCGTTTGTTTCAATGCCATTCATTTCCTCAATTGTCAGAGCAGCTTCAAAGGTTTGGAGTGGCAGTTTAATAAAAATCTTCAGAATTGCCATATTCACAACTACTACTACTACTATTACTACTACTACTAATAATAACAATAATAATTGATCATCTGGTATCATATTACACGGTATTGACACCAACTGAATATAAAACACGGCACGACAGTGTGAGCCAATATCTGCACTGGAAAATATGCAACTTCTACGGAAAGAAAACTGAAAGAAATTGGTACGAACATCACCCAGACCCGGTTACAGAGATAGGACCTGTAACAATTTTAGGAGACTACATAATACCCACATTAAAGACTGCAAACAAAAATGCCTCCTTATTAGCATGGCAGTCCTTGCAGACTGCAATGTATCTTTGAAGATCTTCAAAAAGCTATTCAAATACAAGGACCTTGAAATCTCAAAAATATGAAACATGAGAACATCAACAATCCCTGTTGTAGTTGGAGCCCTCGGATAGGCTGGAAAAGATTCCAATAGAGCCATTGAAGGGATTAAAGAAATACAAAAATAAATGTTCCACGAGTACAGCTTACACCTTACGAAGGGCTTTATCTATGTAAAATATGTGCAATTTTTTTTTTTAAATTGCTCAGTAGAAAATGCCATGATACCATTTCTGGCTTTAGTTTTCTGGGCGGGACCCGGAAATAAATGAGTATACAACAGAAATCAATGGAAATAAAATAATAACCACAAAAAATTGGATTAACCCGAAATGCAGATTCTGCGATAAATATCCAGAAACAATTGATCATCTTGTGTCAGGTTTCACGTTATTAGCATCCACCGAATATAAAACTCGGAATGATAGAGTGGGCCAATAGCTGCACAGGAAAATATGCAACTTTGACGGGAAGGAATCTGCAAGAAATTGGTTTGAACACCACCCCGACCCGATTACAAACATAGGATCTGTAAGAATTTTATGGGATTTTAGAATAGGCACAGACGGAGCAATCAAAACTAATCGGCCAGACATTGTGATCAAAGACCACAAGAAGAGATTGCGCTTTCTTATTGACATGGCAATCCCTGCAGACTGTAATGCATCTTTTGACATCTTGAAAAAAAAAAAAAAAAACTATCTAAATACAAGAATCTTGAAGTTGAAATCTAAAATATGTGGCGCAGGACGTCAATAATTGAATTGTAACTGGAACCTCGGATTGGCTGGAAAAGATTCCAATAGAGCCATTGAAGGGATTCCTGGTAGCCCATACCTTAAAATATAAACAAAAAATGTTTTCATATGTACAGCTTATACTTTACGAAGCGTTTTACCTATATAAAATATGTATAATTTTGGGTTGTTTTATTTGAATTTTTTGTGTGTGTGTGTTTGCGTACGCGTGTTTGGATTTTCGTTTGTGCGTATGTGAGTTTTGTGCGCGTCTGTGTGCGCGTCTGTGTGCGTGTGTTCGTAGGTGTTTGTGCATGTGGTTGTGTGTATGTTTGTCTGTTTATGTATGTGCGTGAGGGTTTTTGCGCGTTTGTGTGTATGTGTGTATTTTTGTTTATGCCTTTGTGTTTGAGATTGTTCCTGTGCAGCAAGAATAAAAAAAAACTTCGGTTTCAGCCTTTCACACTGCACCACATAACTAATGATGGATATGGTGTTTATTATTATTATTATTATTATTATTATTATTATTATTATTATTATTTTCTTTGATTTCTGGCGTTTACACATTTCTTTCCGGGTCCCGTCATGACACTTTCCACTGACAAAAAAAAAAAAAAAAAAAAAAAATGATTACATAGATAAAGCCCTTCGTAAGGTGTGGGCTGTACTTGTTTATTATTATTATTATTGTGTTCTCACCAGTTGTAACTGATAGGGGTTAAACTGGAGTTAAGTGACAGCATGCCTCATAAACATTTCAGGACTTTTTACTGTATTCAAGTAGTATGTTTTTATTTTAAATGACGTCTATTGGATGTTTCTATATCTTCCTACATGTTTCATCACCTTTGGGGTTTCCTTTAGTCAGAACATAAAAATCGATATAAATAATAATAATAATAATAATAATAATAAAGGAAGAGAAAAAGAGTGTTATCTAACGAAAAGAAAGAGAAAGTGAAAGAGGTGAAATACTTAATTCTTCTCTGTGTGTCTCGTATCATGTCACGCACAACTGATCCCGATCGTTCGGACGCACACACACACAGACACACAAGCACAAATACACATAAGCAGGCAAAAACCCTAACACACCCACATACAAACGAACGCACACAATCTCAAACATAAACAAGCACACAGACGTACAACAAACATACGCGCAACAATGTTCAGTGGAAAATATTATGATGTCATTTCTAACCTTGGGTCTCTGGTTGGGACCCGGAAGAAAAATGAGTATATAACAGAAATCAAAGGAAATGAAACTGACTGTAGTGTTACCTTTTTTTAGC